GCCCGATGTTTCATCTGCCTCTGAATTCTTGTTAACACTGAATGAAATCCACCCCTCACTGCATTTTCTACTACATTACAAAAACCATGTTGACGTAAGGTATAAACATTATCTACTGAAGACAATGTTATACCGTGCGTTCAAACTCTCCTCGAATTGGCAGTTCTTCCATTAAGAATGTGAACGTCTTAAAATGGTTTTTGCTCGCCTGCATTATCCCAAAACTCTCGTAGAGAACACCATCAGACATTTTATTGAAATGAAAGCTACTGAGAATGTGTGTTTTAAACAACAAGTATCCGATGAACAAGATTCTCCCATCAGAATTGTCTTACCGTTCAAAGACCAGAAATCGGCGAATGCGGTAAGACACCAACTCGGTGATCTCAGTCGAAAGATTGATGCCGCTATCCAGCCTGTTTACACAAGTCAGAAGATCAAAGGACAATTCAAACCAAAGGAACATAAACCTCCAATTGTGAATCAACAAACGCTGTTTACTATTACGAGTGTGGTCTGTGCGATGCAGACTATGTAGGCTTCACGAGTCGACACCTACATCAACGTGTGGAGGAACATAAGCGATCAACAATCGGCAACCACGTAAAGGATGAGCACGGAAAGGATACAGAGACCATTGGAAGCAATTTCAGGATTTTGAAAAAATGTCAGAGTAAACTCGACCGTTTGATTTTTGAAATGCTTTTTATTCGTAAACTTCAACCGAAATTGAACAAACAGTGACTCGATCCGCGCGAAGCCATTTACTTAATTATTTTAATTACTTCACTTTGAAATCGTTTCCATCGCCTTAACGTTTTTATTACTCATGCCGCAATTTTCTTGTATTGTTTCTATGTAAATATTTTAGAATTTTAGTCAGTGTCTCATTAGCATTTTTATAATCGATTGTATATATTTGGGCGCATGCAAAACTTTTACTTTTCAACTTGAAAATGACCGTCGAGCGGTCGAAACGTCGTTGCTTTTTAACGTTAACATTTTTAGTGAAAACAATTTATGACGTTTTAAAAAGATATCTACAAGATTAAAGATGTCGTGTGCTGTTAGACAGGCGTTTGATGACTCTCCGATAATTGCAAGAGCTTCTTGCACGTTTTTTGCAACTTGTCGCGTTACCCAAGCAACAAACATTGAGCGGAAAATGATTTAAAACGCCTTGTTTTCTTTCAAAGCACTGAAATTGGCACATTACGCTGGTATGGTCATTGAAGTAAACAACAGAAAGAAATTGAATTCTTATTGGAGATGATTGACAATTGAAACGTCGCAGCTTCCTCAATACATTGTAAGGTAACTTCTATTGTCATCTTGTGGATTAACCTAGTAAAGCATATCACGGGCGAGACTAAAGAATCGTTCTTATCGTCTGGAAGCGCTGTGAAGATCTTGCTTGAGAATATAGTTTGTAAATTGATTTTTTTAAATGTGTGTTAGACATTTCGATTCACTGCAACAAACAAAGAAATTAACGAAAGGAAGACCTGTGAGTTCGGGGCTGAAAGGGAGATTACAAACAGTTTTTAGGTCGTGTTCTATTGGGATCAACCGTTTCAACCGCAACCGGTTTGGGTTGATACCGTTGGCATTTCTCATTAGAACACTTTCCAGGGGCACCCAACGGATGGTTTCGGTAAATTATCTGTTCGGAAGGCCTCTAATCCTCTCTAATTTTCTGAAGAGAATTGTCACCTCGAACTTTCGTGATATGAGAAATTTAATGTCTGTTGTTTTCGGATCGTAAAAAAATGTTGTTTTGGGTACCGAAAAAAGGTCAGCTATCACTTTCGGAAAGGCGATAAGACCTAAGGTTTTCGGG